ATTAAAAAAAAAAAAAAAAAAAAAAAAAAAAAAAAAAAAACAATTAATTAAAACTTTAACTATTTTTTAATATAAATTTAATATGGACAGAAATTGTAATTTTTAAATAAAAAATAATTTAAATAATATTTTTATTTGTTTTATGATAAAAATTTATAAATATATTTTTTGTAATCTAAAGAAAATTTTTATTTAAGTACTTTTATAAAATAACTTATTAAAATTTTTTATAAAAAGTTGTTTAAATAAAAATTTTTAAAATAGTTTAACTAACAAATAAATTTTACTTTTCTAAATAATACATTTTTTTAATAAAATTTATATCTTTTTTTTTTTATATTTTAAAGAATATTTTTATAAAATTTTATAAAATTTAAATAATTATTTATTGAATTATAAATAAAATATAAATTAAAAAAAAAAGGGTGATTTTTTTTTGTTCTGAACTGTATATTATATAAATATTATATATTGCATCAAAAATCAACTAATTCGGTATATTTTCAAGCTTTAATATTAAAAGTTTAATTACTATTTCCTATTTTTTGTAATTTAATTAAGCAAAATTTTCTTCTGATAAGTATTTAATTTTCTAGATTTTTATTATTATTTATTATTTTAGTGCTAACTACTATAGATTTTTTTCTGAAAATATTCTTGTAACAAATATGTTTAACTTTTACTCCATTCAAACATGTGCAACCTTGACTCTTTTTAGAGTTCAATTAACAATCGTTTTAATAAGATGGCTAACAGTATTGTAGTAGTAGTTCTTTACTATATTGGTGGAGTTTATTTATTTTGATATAGAATAAATTAAATGTTTCTTTCGATTCGAATATATGCACATTATTTGATAATTTTCTAGTTACACATATTTGCTGCATCTCTAGATATAGTTATATAGAAATAATAAGTTAATTTTTTTGTTTTTTGTGTTTTCTAACCCACTCTTGGACTGCTCTTTTGTTTTGACCTACGCGAAGTTTTGAGTCGCCATGATAAAAATTTGATAAAGTGCTTGAACTAATATTGTCTTTCCCAATCTCCTCGGCTACATTTTTAAATGAAAGACCTTCTTCCTCTTTCCGTTGGTCAAATATTTTCTTAAATATATCTCGAAGCACTTCAACATTATCTAAACTTGAAGCAAGGTCATCTAGGGTCGATCTTTTTTTAGTCGACTTTTGAGATGCCGAAATATTATTTCTTGAGTCATCGTGTAGTTTATATGTCGAAGCTAAAGTGATTGAAAACCACAATAATTAACTTAACAATAAAAAAAGGGTTTAATGATATGGTGTTTGCAAATTGAATACCTAAAGGTTCTCCTCTTCCAATATTGATTGAAACTTGCGAATATTGATCGTTATCTTTAAAAAATATATTATTTTATGCAATGGAAAAACTGTTAAATGACAAAAAAACACTATATTCACATACTCGGTAATCTCGATTGCTCTGACTCTATTATTTTTAGAATTCTTCTTGCTGCTCCAGGAGAAAAGCCAAACTCCGCAAGCTCTTTTTCGGTGGACTGAAGATAATTTTCGCCAGAGTATTTAAGCCGATCTATGACTCTAATATCTTCTTTTTCAAGATAGAGGTTAAATTTGTTGGATTTTAAGAAATTCGACACTTTCTCTGGACTCCATTCCTTGACGCTAGGGTGAGGTTGGTACATGACGTCGAAAATAATGATGTATTAATGATAATAGAGGTGTGTATTTATACATTCTGATTGATCATATTTCTTCTACTTTATAGTATAAAATGATTATACAATAATGTTTAGTATATAGTAAAATATAAAATATGATAGTATATTTTAATTAACTATAAATTATGTACAACGATTTATACTACAGTAATACTATTACCCATTATTTCCATAAAAGAAAATAATCGGACATAAAGTTTTATGGATATGATTTGCAAAAATCAAAGATACATATAATTAAAGCTAAAATAAAGTTATTATCATATTAAATGACAAATCTGTCTGCAATCTTGGCTACTTATTTAGAAATATTTCTTGTTCGGTGAAAGGTTGACGCAGCACAGCCACGAATTGACGAGAACAAAAAATTATTAGTAATTAAAAAGAAAGAAAGAAAGAATGCAATTTATGACTCGAAACACGCGAGTGCAATGCACTCCTCCCTACTTCTCTGGGTAAAGTGGAAATTTAGAATAATAAGGCAAATAATGTATTGTGATTCTTGCTATCTCAACATACTATCCAGGAATCATAAACAAAGGAACATGGATTGAACAAAGAAAGATTCTAATTTGCTTTGAAAAAGGATGATGTTCTAGAATAAGTAGAAGTAGATCTATAGGGGATTCCGTTGTTTTTTTATATAGTTATCTAGTTAAATAATCTATATCGTAGCGGCTTGTTTTATGCCGTTTCTTCTAAGAAAATTGTAAGTACTAGATTTTCATCTACAACAAGAACATGATCATATTTATTATTTATGAGATGGTCAAGTTTTAACCACAATTGTTTATATTGTTGCAGCAATATTCAACTTAGCGCGAGAAATTTCATTAGAATTCCTTGCGATTACGTATCTAATCCAGAGTTGGAGTTAGAACGAGAAGCCTAAATTCTTTGTGTTGAGTTAATTTGGAATTTTCAAATAACTTTTTTAGACAATAGTATAGTTGTGAATCTAATAATTCATCATATTACAGTAGAAGACAAAGGTTCGATTGTGTAAATTCGAAAATATACTAAGGTAATAACTAGAACTAAATTGTGCTTTCACTTATTTATTTCTTTGTTTTTCTTTTCTTTTTTTCTTTATTATAATTTGTACATAAAAAGTAACGCAATCTAAATTTATAATATATACAGTAATTACAATATTAATTAATAGTTAAATATAAAAAAATTATAAAGATATTTAATAAAAAATATTATTATTTTATTTTGATCAAATAAATACTTCATTTAATTCAATAATTTCTTGTTCGAAGGAATAGTAATCCGGATGTGTGTGTACCTTATGATCACGTAAAACATAAGTGATAGCGGCATACATTATACTGTACATATCAATTTAACGGAGTTTTTATTACGGACAATTAGGAGTTTGATTTTTGGATCGCGATTACATGATGTATTTTCGCATTACAAAAAAAATCTTTGGTATGATTGCAATCGATAGTTATGGTAGTGTAACGAGTGCAGGAAACTATATTATCGTGTATTTATAAGCTGATTTAAATGATAGAGGATGAAGAGGGAACCAAGGAATGTATAAATAGGGAATGTTGTTGCATGTGTTAGCGATGTTCCCATTTAACTAGTTATAATAAAAAATATTAATTTATTAAATAAAAAAAAGAATTCGAAAATTTTAATTTGGATATTTGAGGAATTAATGAAATAGGTATGTACATCACATCCAAAATAACCCTAATAAAACTTTCATTATGCATAATGCAGAGGTATATAGTCAGCCAATAAACACGCGTTTATGTTATCAGTTTCTCTCCTTCATCGTCATGATTTCTCTTCCGCCTAATATTGAGGACTGGAGTCCACGAATAGTGTTAGAGTTCCTGAAGGCAAATAAAAAAAAACTACATCTTACTGATGAAATGGTACAGGCCGTGAAAGAACTGGACTATTCCGGTAAAAATTATCTTCGGTCAAACGAAAATGAGCTCAGAAGTTCCGGCCTGTCTCCTGGAGCAGTGATAAGAATCCTTGAAGAGCTTGAAGAACAAGCGAATAAATGTACCAGTTTACTGATACAATATTTAATATTTGATACTTTTTAATGGCACTAAATTGGTATTTCTCTAGGCAGCGATCAATTTCGACGAGCTTTGCCCGCCAGAAGAAAAGGTGAGTCTTCGAGTATTTTTTACTTAAAATTGATAATATACGATAAATTTAACTTAATTTTTTCGCGTAATTATATTACGATTGCTAGAGCCAACCCCTCCACAATACGATAATGATCAAGATTGCCTTTTAACGACCCCAAAATCGAGTAAAAAAAGGTCACTGTCTCTCCCAGAAGAGGATTTGACTCTCCCAAATACAGATGAAATACATATACTTAGGGAAAAATTCAGAAGAATATATAACTCTAGGAAAGAAAGCGAAGGTCTTACATTTGTAAAAATAGCAAAAAAGGAGATTGACAATGGTTATATTGGTAAGGGGACCTTATCAAATTTTTATAACGGTAAATCAGATCTTAATAGAGAACCAAATCTGTTAGCGATTAAAGGGTGGATTGAAAAATATGAGACAAATACTACAAAGAAAAAAAAAATTTAAATAACATTATAGCAATTCTTTTTGATCAATAAAATCGGTTGTGTTTTTTAACCCGGTTAGCCTATTACCTCAAATAATTATAAACATCAGCCATATTTAAAATTTTTTTGAGATGCTTCATGCAATTATCTAAGCGTTTATTTGATTTTTTTTTTTTAAAAAAACAAAAATTATTCTTTTACCAATAAGATATTTTTCAAACGATTACTGTTAACTTTTAAATATTTCCCCCAAAATTTATCTAGCCTGCATTATCTATAAAATAGCCTAGGGCAAGTTTATGTCCAGCATACTGATTCTGAAAATACATTCATAGTAGCAGTGGGAAATGACGAGTCTATCGCTTGCTCATAGATCTCATAATGGCACATCACAGAACAGTTAAATAGGCCTACTTTGCGCTAATTGGCTGTGAGTTCAGGGTTTCTCTAATCGCTTCTCTTTCCCTCTTCTGAGTGATAACGGCAATTGAAATTGACCGATCTTCATCCGTAGGTCACGTAATCACAGGCAAAACTAAAATGAAACAATGAAAATAGAACATACAAAAGAACTTATCACACAGATATTTTAACATGTAAGGTAAATACATTTACTACTGTCGTGGGTAAAAAGAGAGGTACGATTACGCGGCACACGTCGCGTTACGTAATTAGTGTGTTTATGGGAGAAACGGCGGGAAAGTAATGGTGGGAAAATTAGAATAGTGAATCTTATGTAATCATGCGGCGTAAGGTGATTCTCATGTAAGCAATCCTAGCATGTAAACAAAATGACGCTTATAAATATAACCACCGAATGAAGAGAAATAAAGGCAATTAGCATTTAGGTAGAATTTACTCGAAACCCGCTTTAAAACGTCTAAACTCTTGCCATTTCTGTCGTTTTTTACACGCCCATAACTTGCTCGCGTAACTATACGAACCAGAGTTTGACTAGAAAGATTAGGATAGTTCTAGCAACTATAAAAGTTCGAGTATAGGACATAAGATGTAAAGTTAGGAAACAGACAAGGTAGGTCAAATCGTAACACGTCTCAAGAGTTTAAACTCAACGTTACACGAAGTTTACCAATCATTGGCGACAGACTCGCCGGTTAGCCCACGACACTACTTTTATTTAAAAAAGAAAGTTAAGTATATATATAATTATTATTATTATTTCTTTTATTCCTATTATTGTGAGGGTTATCAATTCCTCTATAATTCTCTAAGGGTTTTAAAGTTGAAGTATTATAAATTGATCCGAGTATCTCACTTTAACTACAAAATGAACTCAAAAATCATTCATTCATTAAAATACATAATTACTTAAAACTATTTCAAAGTCCCTATTGTAGAATTTAAAGATTTTATTAAGATTTGATCTTTCTTATATATATTGTATATCTCATAAAAACTTATAGTTACTATATTAAATGTATTAATTATTTTTTACTATATTTAAGAAAAAAATATTTTTTAAAAATCAATAATAATTATAGCACAGATAACTCAGATTTCTCAGAAATTAGAGATTTGTAATCATCATTATATTAATATATATAACAATACAAATTTTTTCTTATATTATTTAATTACATATTATAATTATTCTTTTTTTTTAATTGTCTTTATTTTTTATTTATTCTCATTATCCCACTTATTTTTCTTATGATATACAATATAATGTCATATTATATAATATTTTTGTTTTTCTATAACAATAAAAATTTATAATATTTTTAAAAATATAAAAAACAATTTCCCATTTAAAATTTTTACAAATCTTAACTATTTCATACTTTATGTATAAATATTGTCTTAAAAATAAAATTTAATGATAATTTTTAACCAAATTTTATTTTATATTTCTTTAACTTAAATAAAATCAATTGAAATAAAAATAAATAATATTAAAATGCAATATAATTAATATAATATTAAATAATATTAAAATTAATAATATATGTCACTTATAAAAAAAATACTCTTTCCATTAAGCCTTTTGCCAACTTAAAAAACAGATATTCTTGAAAAAAAAATTATTTTTCAATAATAAAGGCTAGATATTTTCTTTAACAACATATATTTCTAAAGGCAAAAGCTCCTTCTACTTGTTTGCCTTTCTTGATTCAAAACCTTTTAAAAATTTTAATAACAAATTACTTAAAAACTTATTCATTTAGTTTATGGCAAAAACATTATATTGTAAAGCAAAAACTTGTTAAAAAATATTCTTCTTTTTTTTTTCTTAAGATTTTAAATTTTAAAAAAACCTATATTTCCAAACTTTATAAAAATTTTAGATCTATTATAAGTAAATACTTTGTTGAAAATAAATAAATAAGTCAGTATTCTAATTTGTAAATGTGAATATATAATTTTTTCCATCAATTAAATGTTTGTAACAGTCTTCTCAAATATGTTAACAAGTTTTTTAGAATTTTTAAAAATTTTGTCTATCTTAATTTAATCCTGAAATTTTTGCTATATCAAAATTTCCAGTTAATAATTAATTAAGATTTTGAATTGGCTAATTAATATATAATAGAAAAATAAATAAGACATGTACTTTTTATATGTTTTCTGTTATATAATACATTAAAGATAAAGTTATTTGAAAAAAACAAAAAAACAAGATAGCATAATGTTTTCTTAATTAGAAGTGATTTAATAACTTTCTTTTTTCTTCTTGTTCTGACATATTTTCTTTTTTGTTGTTAATTAATCTGAAAAAATATCATTAATAATATAAAACTTGTTTCAAGCAATAATTTTCAATAAATATAAGACTTGTTTCAAACAGTATAGTTATAAATATCTTAAATGTTCTTAATCAATAATGAAACAATAAAAATCAAATAATTTATCTAATTGCAAGTAATAATAAAGAATTTATTCTGATAGATTAATTGATATTAAAGGGTTTTTATTTATTAAAACAAACTTTAATTTTTATATTTATTTATATATCAAATAGGTTATTTATTTTAATTTAATAAATAAATATTAACAAGTAGTATTAAATAATAAAAACATAAAAAAATTATATAAATTGTATATATTTAATATATTTCTATAATTTTTATTAATTGAATAAGAAAATTAGTTATATAATTAATTTTTAAGATATAAAATATATTACTATATAATAAATTTATTTTTTAAAAAATTTAATATAAGAAAAAAAAGAAACTATCTATTTGAAAAATGCATTATAAGCTTTAAAGATAAAAAAAGAAGTAAAGTAAAATATAATATAAATAAATAAATTATATACAGTATATAATTTCTTTATTAAAAATAGTTATTTTATAACTATTTTATTATCAAAACTTTATCAAATTGTTATTAAGCTATTATTAAATAGTCACAGTTATATATATTTTCTTATTACTGTAAAAAAATTTTGATCAACAATATGATTCTGAATTAGATATAATTTTCAATTATTTATTATATGTTACTTAATAATTCTGATATGATATGGTTTTTAAAAAATATTTGAATTCAATTTCACTACATATATAGTCCCAGTATTTATAGAAAAATCACCACAATTCAGTTACTGCAACAGTAACCATTTTGTTACAAATTTCTTCAATTAAGTAATAATTAAAAAATCTCAAATTCTTTACCAAGTTATTATTAAATTACTATAAAATTATAGTAATTTGATTGCAATTATATATAAATTTATTTGTAGAATTATATAATAATAATTGAACGAATAATATAGTCATAATTAAGTAACAAAAATAATTATAAATTTATTGATATTAGATATTGATATAATTACAAGTTTATAGTAATTAGCAATGTATTTATAAATTTATTATAATTAAATAATTAAATAATTATAATTAAATAGTAAAGTAGTTACTGTTATATATTATATATTAAATTAGATCATATTAATAAAATAATCATTTTTTAAATAATATCAATGTACTTTTCAAATATATAATTGAGAACAAAATTAATTTTATTTATCTGATTAACTACTATTAATAATTAAATTTATTATTAACTTTTATTTCTTGTTAATTGAATCCTATAAATTGGATACTTTAATATTTTATTTGTTTTTTTAATTTTTTTAAATCAATCAATTGCAATAAATATATAAACATATTTATTATTGTATTTATAATGAAAATTGTTTAAATTTTAATATAATTTTTATCTTTTTTGCTAATATTAATAGATATGACATAACAAATATTTCTTAAAAATATTATAATCATTCATTTTTAAATAAATTAAAACTTATTGCTTATTAATAAAAGCTAGGTGATTTTCAAAATTATAATAAGAAAGCAATAATTTCAATCTAAATTTTAAGTTATTTACTTGATAAAATATTATTTTTTCAAGATTTCATTATGTAATTTTTTTCTTAAACTGATGTTAAAAATATATTTCACTTATAAATAAATCAAATTTAATAAATTAAATTAGCAATATTAATTAAATATATATTAAGTTATAATAATCAATCTTTAATATTATTACTTTTATTATGATTAAAGTATTTGTTAGTAGTAAACTAATTATTGAATAGCTTTTTGATATTTTATGAAATATTAACAAAATCTTGACTATTACTTAAGAACTTATTGTCAATTTCACTATTAATTAAATTTTGAATAGTAAATAATATTGTGAATTTTTTTTACTAAGTTCAATTTAATATTTTTATAATTATTTTGGAATATAATATTTTTTTTTTTTTTTTTTTTTTTGTAGGTAAACATCATTTCTTTATTTGATTTGTATATAGCAGGGTATACATCGTG